AATCTGCATCTAACTATCGGCGAAGCTATCTCACAGTATTTGTGTACGTTCTCCGCCACCACCGCTGCCGCCGCCGTCGTTCCCTCCCCGTCACCCTCCCTATCGCCCCATGAAATATAATATTGAGATATTTAGGAGGACGATGTGTTTTTGCGCGAGCCGTTTTATCCACGAAAATAATCAGTACGATTTTATTTCAATAACTACTAATCAAACGTTTTTTTATACTTAACGAAATTCCATTTTTAAATATTTTGATATGTAATGAAAGTACAAGAGCAATGTAATCGTTATACAATCCACATTAATTTTTAAAGGATAAAAGCCCTGTCACATAGAAGAGTACATAAGTACGTGTGTGTGTGTATGTGTGTGTATGTGTATGTATACATATATACATACATACACGCATTCATACATAAATAAGTCGATAGAGAGGAAATCGTCTTATAGATAGAGGAGATAACTTTGGTACCTTAACAAATTTGATTTTGCAGGATGTGGCAAATGATTTTCAACGTAGAGAAAGACTTAAGATAATATTGAATATTTTATCTGTAAACATCGAAGAGATGTCAAAGATCTCGAAGAGTTCGTAACTCGTTGACTAGAATGTCCAAAAGGTAGAGAAGAAGTATTATAAGGGAACATTGAAATATTTCTTTTTGGTTCGTGTGAAAATGATTTCACGGAAATGTATTTTCCATCGGGAAAATATGTTTTGAAGGACACGAGACAGATTAGAGGAATAATGTTTCACACGAATTTTCTCTTTACATGCGCGTGCGTGTGGGTGTGTGTCTGTGACAGATAGGGAGAGAGAGAGAAAGAGAGAGAGATAATTTCCAGACGTGAATATGTGTGTGGTCTTAATGTTTACGGATTGATGAGAAAGAGAAGGAGAGAGAGAGAGAGAGAGAGAGAGAGGGAGAGAGAGAGAGAAAGAGGAAGAGACAGAGAAACTGAGGATTTTTTGAAACAACCGCAAAAGAAGAAGAAAATAAAGAAGAAAACAAACCAAGGAAAAGAAAGGGAAATTCTGATAGTAAACACTAAAGAAAGAAGAAAGAAAGGAAAAAAGAAAGGAAAAGTAAAAAAAAGAGAAAAACTTCTTTCTCGCGTTGGTAATTTGATTCCCGCGATATTCGACATCTGCCCTTGAGAACTAGAAAGCTAAGAAGTAGGTATAGTATATATATATATCTGAAAAGGGTCGTCCCAGTGCGTGGTTTTCTGGTGTCGAAATATTACCAGACGCTTTTCAACCAACGGCCTAGTGAAGTAGTCAAGAAAGAGAGAAAGAGTATACCACGCTACCACTTGAAAAGTGTCAGATTAAAGTGGCTGCTAAAGAATTTCGATGAATTTACGATTACCCATCTATAAATCTTAAACGAGAAAAAGCCGTTTATAATTATAGCACAAATTTTTACCATTTTTTCTTTTCCTCTTCTTTTTCGTTTTGTTTTTGTTTTTTTCTTCTTTTTCTGTTTTCGTTTTGATTCTTTTTTACTTTTTTATTTTTTTATTTTTTTTATTCTTTTTTATACTAAGACGTCGAACAATTTGTCAAAGCACACTTGGGTGATAAGAAATTCGAGTACTCTTCTCTTTTAAAACGGAAGAACGCCATAGTATGTTTATTTCTTAAACAAAACGTCATCTCTTCTTTCATTCGTGTTATCGCACGATCGTGAAAACGAGAGAGAGAGAGAGAGAGGATATGCCATTAAAAAATTAATAAGTATTGCACACGCATACACACACGAACACACGCACAAAACTACAAGTATATAAAAATATGGGATACATATTTTTTTCCTCGTCGAACATTATTTATTTACAATTTAGTTAAAATCCGATCGAGAGATTGAACTTATTGTATAAATTCGTTTTAAATATTTGTATACATAGGTACGTATATGTGTATTATGGCGTAGTCATTGATATAACAATGAAAAAGTAAGTGAGATGAGAAAGGAAAGTGGTCTGCAAAGACGTTTTTGAGAGAGCACGAGAGATGGAGATAGATAGATATAGATATAGATGGATAGATAGATAGAGAGAGAGAGAGAGAGAGAGAGAGAGAGAGAGAGAGAGAGAAAGAGAGAGAGGAAGAGGGAGAGAGAGAAAGAGGGTGCTCGCGATTGAAGCAAAGAGGTGCTCGAGTGGGTGTGTCTGCCTGATGGAGCTCGAAACTAAATTAACCACCCCGCCCGGGGCTCGTGATCTCGTCGCAACCTCATCTCCTCGTCCATTATATTTGTCTTTGTATGCTAAACATTTGCGAGATTATACGAGCCACTCTCCACTGGCAAGTGTTCTTTCTCTCTCTCTCTCTTTTTTTCCTTCTCTGTCTTTCTCTCTTCCTCTTCTTCTCTTCTGATCCGTTTCTTTTTCGATTTTCCCAGCTTTTGAGTTATCGCGACGATCCTCGAAAATATTAATAAGGAGAGAGAAAGAGAGAGAGAGAGAGAAATAATAATAATAATAATAATAATAATAATAATAATAATAATAATAATAATAATAGAAATTGTATCTATACGGAAATATTTTCATAATGTTATTTCTCACATTGTCCAAAAAGCAATTGCGATAAGATAGAAATCATATAATAGAGATTAGAGATTTTCTTCGCTTTAAATAGTTTACCTATAAATAGTACGTAGTATAGTAGCAGATTGTGAATTGGAAAATGTAGATAAACTTGGAGATATATATATATGTATGTATGTATGTATGCGTGTACGTACGTATATATACATATGCGTCATCATACACACACGTAGAGAGAGAGAGAGAAAGAGAGAGAGATATGATACAAAGAAATGTGTATTGCGTTTTCGAAAGTAATCATGATTGCGTCTGATATACAATCTTATGCGTTTTTTATTTTTTTTTTATTTTTTCATTAGCTTTTCTCTTTTCTTTATTTGCTTTTCTTTTCTTTCCTTTTATTTTTTTAACTAGTCTACTAAGAATAGAGAAATCCAATGAGAGAGAGAGAGAGTCTTTATATTATAACGTCATCGGAAAAAGGATAGGATGAAAAGATCCGTTGAAGAAGTGCGAATGTCGGCACGTTTATTCCTAGGTGTCATACTGTCTGCACAGCGTCATAAATCGATAAGCTCGCTTTTACCGTGCTCGTTCCTTATCGATAACGACGTACCGCATTCATGTTATCGAATGTGCCGCCTTACATGTCGTCTTTTTATTTTCTTTTTTCTTTTTTTTCCTATTTTATTTCTTTTCTTTTATTTCTCTGTTTTTTCTTTTTTTTTTCCTTTTCCTTGTTTTTTCCTTTTTGTATATCAAGCAAAGTGACACTATCTATTATTAAATTCAATGTATCCGTGTAATAGCATAGCGAGAAAAACTTTCTATATAATTCTGCGAAAATTAATACAGGCTTAATAACAATGTTCATTTTAAATCCTTTCGCTCTTTTTATATATTTAGGTATTGAATATGTAGGTATTGAAGGTATATATATATATATACCTGTAAAAATATCTATCTCTTCAATAATATATATATATATAATATATATATAATAATATATATATATATAATATAGATAGATAGATGAATAGATAGATCTTATACGTGTTTACCAAATCGATAATTATATGTAAGTGTTCATTACTCAACTCGTACGATCGTCTTACGACGACCAGTCCGCAAGTGTCATTTCTTCGATCGTAAAGCGATAACAGTGGCGTGAACTGTTAGTCATGATGCCGCGAGAGAAGATAAATGAGTGTATACATAATCTTGAAATAACTTTGCAAATGAAAACATTTGTTACATGAAAGGTAGCTCTCACGTATAATGTAACGAAAATTTACTCGACTCGACATGAATCGATCGAGACCTCGGGAAAAATAAAAAAAACGAAAGAGAGAAAGAGACAGAATGAAAGAAAAAGAATGAATGATAGAGAGAGAGAGAGAGAAAGAAAGAGAGACAGAGTGAAAGAGAAAGAATGAATGATAGAGAAAGAAAGAGAGAGAGAGAGAGAGAGAGAGAGACAGTCGAGTGGTGTAGATGCTACCAGAGACGTCTTATCTCTTCATGCACAGCAGTCGTGTCGGCAGATTTCAAAAGGAATGGACGCTGATAAATCGAGTGGGTCCTTAAAGAAAATTAATTACAGATAAGGCGTTTAGAATCTCGCGCGACACGACACGATACGACACAACATGACATAACGTTCACGGTTTACGCGAATAAAGAGAGATATTATGGTTGGAAATAATTTCTTAAATGGAAAAAAGATAAGAAGAGAATAGAATTGCCGTCATCGACTTCTACGATCATTCGCAAAATAAACCCGTTTCGTAGTAAAACGCGTAAGCTTAAACCTCCGTCGCTCTTCACTTATCTATCAAGGATTCGAGATAAGCCATACGATTCCTGGACAAGATTCGAAACGTCGCTTTTAGAATACGAGATAGTTAACAATGGAAATACCAACGGTTATATATTTCCATTTAATTTCTACGTTACTGATTATCGAACATACAATTTGGACTATCTTTATCTATCTCTCTCTTTCTCTTTATTTTTCTCTCTGATTGGTTAATATCTTACATTTACATCAACTTCAATGAGAATCTCATACAGGAGTCCTAATATGTGACTAGTTGAGACGGAAAAGAAAAATACGGTCTAATTAAAAAAAAAAGAAAGAAATAAATGAAATAAAAATATAAGGTGAATAAATAAGTAAATAGACGTTCATACGATATTTTGTTTACATCTTCGTTGTATAGTAAAAAATATATATGAGTAAGTAAGTAAGTAAGTAAGTATATTGACGTTCTCTTCCTAAGATAAAGCGAAAGAGCAGGGATAGAGTTATCCTCTTTAGGAGTCGACAATTGAGTAAGAGAGAGAGAGAGAGAAAAAGAGAAAGAGAAAGAGATAGACGCAGGAGCACGGACGGGTAAGCGTCGCGACGCCCCGAGGGGCACCCAGAGCCAGAAGCTCCGCCCCTGTGGAAGTCGAGCGCCAACCGGACCGCAGAAGTTGAAGGTGCGGTAGGAGGGGCCACCGTGTCGCCTCCAAGGACAGGTAGTCGACGATGAAGCCGTACGACTTCCGCCACGCTCAACCAAACTTTAGTATCGCTTCGACCCTTGTACTAGAGAGACTTCTTATTTCTTCTCGTTTTATCAATTTTTTTCTGCTATTTATTCCGTCTCGTTCATCCGCTCTCTCTCACTTTCCGTCTTCCTCTTACACTCTCACCATTACTCTCTCTACATACGTCTTTCCCTTTTTCTGATTCTCTTGTATATTTGCATAAATATATATATATATATATATATACATATATATATATGTGTGTGTGTGTATGTATATATCTATGTATGTATATGCATATACACACGTAGAGCCAAAAGACAGTGCATACATATTAAACTTGGTGTCACGTATAATTGGATGGGCACTAACAATGTGACTTTCACTTGACTCTGAGAAAAAGAAAAACAATATCTGAGAAAAAAAAATAAAGGGATATATCAGAGTGTAAGAGTGATTAATAGAAGAACGTGAGGATTTTCAATATTATTGTCAGAGAGAAAATACAAGGAGGAGATAAAGAGAAGAATTTACTTTGAGAAAATTGTTATCAATAATGGAGACTAAAATGGAACCTCTTACGCCACCGCATACACCACCGTCGGTGGACAGATCGATGCAGCATCATCTTCAAATGACCTCTACAGTACCATCGCCCCGTTGGATCAGGTCGCAACAGATGTCCAATAGATTTGTTCATCATCATCAACAACAGCAACAACAGCAACAGCACGTGCAGTCGACTCAGCAAAATATTGGTGGTTATCAAGCAACAACTTTTTTGGACAATTGGCTAAGAGGTGCAGCTTTGTTAGCTGTTAGAGGATGTTGTCCGCAAAGTTCGCCTCATTATCATCATCATCATCATCATCATCATCATCCCCATCAACAACAACATCAACATCATCATCAAACTCATCAAGCTTTACATCCACCACTTCCGGTACAACCACCGGCGCCCTTTCTCACGCGAAAATTGCCTGGGCAACGACCGAAGAAACAATTCATTTGTAAATTTTGTAATCGACAATTTACCAAGAGTTATAATTTATTGATACATGAACGTACGCACACTGACGAGAGACCGTACTCGTGCGATATTTGCGGGAAAGCATTCCGCAGACAGGATCATCTTAGGGATCATCGGTAAGTTTCTTGTCGGTTTTTATAATCTCCGATATCTCTTTTATATACAGATT